TTTCGGTGTCATCGTTCCCCACAACTGATTGTATTTCGGTAATATCATTCCGCATGCTTTGCATGTGCTTGAGGGAAGTCTCCTCCCCATCACTCCTATGGAAATGCGTAGCCCAGTACGCCATCTTCACACACACACACATACACACACACACACACTGTTCTAATTATGATAGGAAATATTTTCTTTCTCAAATAAATCTTTATGATGCTCATAAGAACAGGTAAACAACAGGTAATGCACAACAAACAAGAGCCACAGTCATCGTGTTGATGAGTCGACCGTTCATCCTCCTCCTCGATTGTTCATGAATGTGTTTCATGAGGAAATCTCGTGCTAACAACACCTTCGCACGATCGCCTTTCCGTGCCAGCATGTCCAACAGAGTGACTGAATATGCCAAGGTCATCTCCAGGGCAATGACGTCGTTTGACGCATGACTCCATAAACCTTCCATGATGCCGCATATGCAACTTTCAAGTCGTTCGGCTTGTTCACGATCACCATCACCAACAGTAAAGCTCGCAGCATACCTGAGAATGTCAGGTCTCTTCATAGCGACATGTTTAGCAGATGTCCACACGTGAAACAATGTCGAATCACGAACGAACAAATGGTCAATGGCAAAGGCATGACGAGTCTCCGAGCATTCACCTTCATCCTTTGCGTATGTTGCAAGAACATGGTCAGCAACTCGTACTAGCAGATGACACACCTGACATTCGTGAGTCTTGTGATCAGCCGATCCGTTAAGACTCTTTGCAACGTGAAACCATCTCTCGTAAAGGGAATTCATTTCCTAGAATGCGAAGACACGAGGCAACTGATCAATACTGTATCGGGTGAAGGAATGACTCGACTGCATGTCAAGCATGCATATTTATACAAGTCAGAATGGGGTGGGTTGAAAATGCAAAGTTGACAACCAATCACCATCAAGCCCGCCAAAAACAGATGATGTAACCTTGACATGATTGATCTTGTCATGAATGACGCATTCATTGATGGTGTTCACATGAGATCACCCTGGCTCATCTTTCCCAATTCCATTCTTTTCACATCCTGCAACCCATTCTCCACTAGTAGTAGCAGTGGGGATACTAGAGTCCGAAGAGGCAAGGCAGCACTCTTCCGTGGACGTACTACTCGACACAACACCACCCATACTTGTTCTTTAGAAGTTTTTTTTTTTTTTAATGAGTATCATGAGGTATTGACGTAGAAAGTAGTATAGGATAGTATAGGATAGAATAAGAATGAATGATCAGCTGTGTGATAAAGAAGGCAGTTCATTAAAGACTTATTGGAAGGTCTCTACCAGCTGATCGTCTTGTTGGACGACGACACTGCATAATGATGTGAAGCTCTCAGTCAGCTGTTTCAGCTCCGTGATAGAAAGTGCCATGTGTGCGTCCAGAGCACGATGAAAACATCTGGGTTCCACGTTGATGCAGATGATTGGAGCAACAGCAAGACGTACCTTCATCACTTGCTCGTCAGTGTCTAGGGAGACTGCCCCGGGGTAGATGAATACATCTTGTTCCACATCCAGTTCAAACGAGCTGGTCGGGACTAGCTTGTTTTCACCGTTGATGTACACCCGACATTGACCGTCGGACAAACGTGATGTATAGAAGTTGGTTATGATCTTCTCCACACGTCCACTTCGGAGAGTGTCACGGAGCGATGGACAAGTCTTGATCAAGTTCGTAATGATGAACTCAGTGGACTCGTTCAGTTCGATGTAAACTTGTCCTTGAGCATCTTTGCGAGCTGTTGCCGTACTACCACAGGCTGGCAGAGCTCCCGAAGGGAAGTACATCTTATATCCAGGCTTGTAGAAGGATTTACCAGATAACTTGTAGGGCAGCTGCATGTCCTCCTGAAACCCATCCACCACAATCTCTTTGTGGAGCTTGGTAGGAGCAGGTGATGCATAGCGACGCTTAGCCGGTACTGGCTTCGAAGAGAGCACAACTCGAGGAGGGTCAGCAGGAAGAGCGGAATTCTTCTTCATCCTTCGCTCGTATAGGGAAGCCATCTTCTAGGAAGTGAAGTCAGGACAACTCGTCAGCACTGTATTCGATGAACGAATGACTCAACTGCAGACAATCATTCGTATTTATACGAGCCAGAGAGGTATGTGGATTGAAATGAGAAGATATGTGTCAACCAATCAAGCCCGCCAAAAACATTTCACCAATCAGCATCAAGCCCGCCAAAAACATTTGACCAATCAGCATCGTGCCCGCCAAAATCATATCTCATTATAAAGATTCCTTACATGATACCGCCACCTTGGTGAATTGATACAGTATGGAAAGAAGATCACAGTCAAACGTGTGCATGTTCTGGATCACGTGATCAAGTGAATAGATTTCCCAGCAATAAGCATCAATCAATGATGTCATAAGAGATATATCAGATTGAGATAAAAGCAGCAAATTCGAACGCAACGTGGACAATTGCAATGAAGACACCATCCTAGTCGACTCCATGAGATGCAGTACGTATAGGAGTGGAAAATGCTGAGGAAGAGGTTTCATGATTCGACTGAACCTCAACCAGGCTACATTGCTATGAGGTAAGTAGGAATACAGTTTACGTAATGCATCCACATTCGAATCGTATACTATACAGGATAATGCTATAGCATAATTTATACTCTTGTACAAACAGGACTTCTTCATCGCACGTATCTGCTCTCGAAGAGGGTGTACACGAAGCTGATCGGATAAGAGTTCAGTTTTCGAAAGAAAATGCAAAAGATGACGATCCACACCACATAACCGCTCATGCGCAGCGTAAGGCTTCTTCATCAAACTACATCTCTGATGCACATCAACTTCAGGTAAGTAAACCACATCCATGACAAGTCCACAAGAAGAACATACGTATCTTCCTTCATGAACAACATGATCAAGATGATGACACTGCTTTTCCTTCCCTTCTTGCTCTTCTTCTTCTTCTCCTCCTTCTTGTTCTTCTTCTTCTTCTTGTTCTTCTTCTTCTTCACGAAGTCTCTTTTCACGTACATAGGCACGTAAGATCTCTAATTCAGAATCCATCTTCACCCCACACCATCATCTTCATAGTGAAACATTATCCATCAATATATCTACTTTTATACCCACTCCTATCCGGGGATAATAGCAAAATACTCCTGAAAAAATAAATAAAAAATGAACAGAATAAAGATTAACAATGACGATAAGTGTGCCTTATTCAACCCAAAGGTCAAAGGTCAAACCCTGGGGGGGGGGGGGGGGGGAGTCCCGGGGTCAGACTAAGCACGACCGACACAGTGTGCCTTATTTGGCCCAAAGGTCAAAGCAATAGAAGAAAGGCATTCACATCTCAATCTGATATCATAGTCGAAAGATTCCAAACCCGAACAAAAAAGACTCACCATGACGGGGGCGTCTTTCCGCTTTCGAAACACATCGTGTTCTCCAAGGTCGTCACCTCCCCGTGGCGTGACCCCTTGGTCTTGTTTGAGACGTCTAGACGTAGCCTTGTTTACAAAGGTCATCGCGGCGTGAACTTTGACCTCGAGGTGAAGTAGTCTCAACCTGCAGTTTCATTATCGACTCCTTCTTGCAGTGTGAAGAAGCTAAAATGGCGTGGACATTTTCTGAGACGTGCAGAGCAGAGAAATGGTATTTATTTTCATGCGATAATGAAGAGTTCTCAATCCGTCGCCTCAGTGCTAGCAAGACAACCAGGGATCTTGACCCGATGATAGCACATCCCAGAAGATTCGATATGTCACCACTCACTGCTGCTGAGTATATTATCTGCAGGGTCACCAGTCTGATCTTGAATGTGAAGAATAGGAAACAGCACCTTCCTAAAATCGTCATCGGTGGTGTGGAGGACTACGGAACTATTAGTGAGACTGATGATGGTGTCATACTGCGAAGGTGGACTGATGGTAGACACTCATTCTACAAGCTTAGTGACATGCGTGACGAACCGTGCTCTCAACACATCATCGACCTCTTCGCTGATGCAACCTATTTGGATTCCAGCGACGTAATGCAACTTGTCAAGGAGGTGAACGAAAAATGAAGTCTCTCGAGTTGATCGTGTGCGTGTACGACGTAGTACCAAGGCCGTTCAACTCCGTGCCGTTGCAACAAGAGTAACGCGGATTCGTGTGCGAGTTGGTACGATCGACATCGGCGACGATGGATTTATCTCCAAATTACCCGAGTCGACTGTTGACACGATGGCGGTGCAAAGGAGGTCGTCGACTGACAGTTCCATTGCTGACTGGGTGGAACCATTGGTGCACATCAGAGCGTCCGACAACTCCACCTCGTACTGCGTGTCACGGAAGAGATCATGGGTGAATCCATCCTCACACGTATTCGAAGAGTAAACTTTGTGGTCTCTCATCCAATACCAGCTTGATGAAATCAGGACAACAAGAACTGAATTGTACTACCTTTCTCCTCCACTCCATTGCGATATTCACTGTTCGTTCCATTATTCTTTGTAATGACATGTATCGTATCTATCAAGAACTGACCTTTCTGACGTGTGTGCGAGCAGGACCATTTTTGAAAAATTGCATGGGGAGGTGGGGTAGGTCACGGAAAAAACTTCATGATAAACACCATATTCAACATTCTACTTTTTATACCCACTCCCATCCGGGGCAAGGTGGCCCAAAAAAGTGAGATTCAAACCCACATGTGCACAACACATATTTTCAATAATACCCCATTTTTTTTTTGAGGTAGGGGCACCCCCTGGCACATATTTTTATCCGCAAAAAAACCGGGCCAAAAATAATTTTCACCGCAAAAATGGGGTACTATTAGTACCCCATTTTTCAATAATACCCCATTTTTTGGGACCCGGGCGCCCCCTGGCCCAGAACCCGCTCGTCCCTTCCTACTGGAAGCTAACGTGATACCGTGTCACACATACCCATTGTTTGGTGTAGTACACAGACAAAGACCTGTAAATCCTTTCTTTTGTTTGTGCTGTAGGCAAACCCTGCATACTGGGAAAACCTGCAGAAGGAGTGGGAGAAACTTGCTCAGTAAGTGAAAGACTGTAGGTTTTGTGTTTAAGTTGTTTATCGATAACGGATGTTGTCAAGTGGCTTTCATTCATCACTTTAAGTTAAACTTCGAAGTAGTGACGAATTATCCACAGAATTAGAGTGATGAAGGTCACTTGAAAACGTTCGTTATGGATATGCAACTTGATCGCCACGCCACTACAATGTAGTGTGTCATGACTGTCATCAGTACCTTATCATATTACATCTTTCAATTTACTATAATCTCTGTCTGCACATTGATTTCTAACGTCTTCAGATTGTTTGAAGTAGAGTAATGATTCATCTGCTGTCTACTAAAGCATGTACATGCTCATGAAGCATGCCATTCTCACCAAGTATAGATGTAACTGCCTATGTTGCCACACATGCCATTCTCACCAAGTATAGATGCGACTGCCTGTGTTGCCACACATGCCGGCATGTCAGTAGCCTGCAGATTTTGGAGGCATGTCACGGCCTGCCGACAACAGCCATGAAAATGTCCAATGTTGCCCTTCTGCTTGGTTTAGATGTCATGATCCAGATGTTTTGCTTACACTGGTCACCACGAGTAGAGAGGTTCTGCAAAACGAAAATGCGTACAAACTTTCGCTCCACGTCATGAAGTGAGAAACTTTCCACGAACTTTCGCAACTTTGGACGCGAAACTTGCAGGGAACGCGAAAAAAGGGAAATTTCGTGAGATCGGATCATGGCGTACGTGCGCTTGGCAGGTGCAAACTACGAAAATGTGCAGAACACAAAGTTCGTGCGAAAATTCGTACACATTTTTGCAAGGCCTGTCGCGAAAATTCGTACACATTTTCGTTTTGCAGAACCTCTCTAGTGTTACAATAGCTCCCTCCTAAGGTGCTAAGTGAAATCATCATCTGTCTCGGGAAAAATAGGAAAAGTCAGTCTGAGTCTCACTCAGACTGCGAGATTTGTGCCGCATGTGTGTGTGTGTATACTGGGGTTACTATGAATTGGGGCCCAGGGGTTCCCCCCCCCCCCCCCCCCCCCCCCCCGATGCATTTTATTTCATTTATCCTACTCATAGGAATGGGTTTGCTCCCACACTGGAGCTCGCGCTATTCCGCCGACTTGACTTGACACTTGACTGACTCGCGACTTTCATCCAGCGCACACCAGAAGTCCATCGAACCTTCGACTCGGCAAACCTGCAAGAAAGCACCACTCCCTGCTCAATACACAGTGTTTTGGGGAATTCACCCCTCATCAGTTGAGCTTGAGTAGGCTGAGGAAGATTGTGCCTGAAGAGCACCACTTATATAGTGCTCTCCAGGCACAAACATCACTAGGGATACAAACTTACAGAGACGCTCCGTTTCCAGCGCGACAAACACCTCGTGAACACCAGATAGCACCGCGAGTCAGTGTCGCTCCTGGACGGTGAGAACAGAGTGTGGGAGCAAACCCATTCCTAAAATATCATTGCCGAAGTCGCAACCACTATTTATCCTACTCATATTTGGCGAAATAAAATGACGTGGCAACACTGGACTGCCCAAGCAAGGGATGAAAACCTGTGATCGGTACGCTGCTGCGTGTGGCTTGAATCGATGCTGCTTTCACCGGTCAAGCCAAACCGTGCACAGCCATTACTGTCCACGTTGTACATGTTTTAAAAGTGCAGTCCTTCACCTGGATGAAACCACTCATGTGGATTCTCTAGTCAGCGGGTATTCAGAAGTTCCTCTTCTACCCATCTGAAATAGTAGTGACCTGTGTTGTTCAGTCATACAATTGCATGTTACAATAATTGTATTGTTACTATAGTTACTGTACTAATGATATTAGTACTTAGTAGTAGTAGTGCAACTGTAGCCTGTCAGGTCTACAGGTATGTAGATTTAGGTTTGCTTCATGAGTTCATGTTATGGTGTTGTTGAATGCAGAGAACAGTCTAATGATTTCCCTTGGTTAGAAGAGCACGAGCAGGACTTTGCGCAGAAGGTGAGTTGAGACACACGTATATCGGACTCGGACAGTCAAGAATAGATACGTTTCCAACAATGTGCAACTTTGCGTTATGGAGTCTCCGACGGAGAAAACTCACATCACATGCTCCAAGTATCGAGCAGCACTGCACATGTACGTACAACATAGGCCAGCGCAGTCCTGATATCTGCTATGATTTCCCGTGCGTGGATGCACAGCACTCGAAGCACCCGGCCCATCTTGGGGTGTCAACACACGCCCGCATCCACGGCTCTCAGTCTCGACCGCATCGGCCAGCACATGGGCAAGGCGGTGAGCCACCTGATCGTCATCACGTGAAGACTCTAAAAGCTTCTCCATCACCAAGAGTCTAAGAAGAAAATATCCTAGGCTTTTCTTGTTCGAGCATGAAAAAGACCTGAGAGGGCCTTGGATGAGCTGCATCAAATACAGCTTCATTAGAATATTCAACTTTTAAAGATGCTGTGTTCGAGCATGAAATCGTGTAAATCGCGAGGGCTAGACATAGTTATATCTCACCGGAAACTCCGACATGCAATGATGCTGATGACTCGCTTAAGCTGAGTGGTTTCTGTCAGGGAGTGCTATTTTACTACTCTATTGGTCACTGAAAACAGGCTGGGAACGTAAAACGTGAACGCTACACCACTGGATGTGAGTTTTCGCAGTCGGCGGCCCCCAAAGCAACGGCGCCATACAGAGTTACACACTCTTGGGAGCTTATTTACTCTTGGTAGAATCCTACTCTGAAGTGTGTGTGTGTGCTGGAGAGTGTGTGGCTAATTCTGTGTATTCTACAACTGAGTGTTCATTGTTCTGTATTCATCAGGCGGATGAGTTTGAGAGTGTGCGGCTATTCCTGTACATTCCCCAACTGAGTGCCCATTGTTCTGCTCCCACCAGGAGTATGAGTTTCACAAGGACAATGAGTTTCTCGATCACACCAACCCACTAGAGGAGGGTCTCAAGAAACTGCAGGAAGGCGATCTTGCCAGTGCTATCCTGTACTTTGAAGCTGAGGTGAGTCGGTTGTCTTTGTTTTCACTGTTCAGTATGCCTCACCAGCCCATGCTGAGGCGAGTCGCTCGTCTTTGTTTTACTATGCTTCAGCAGCACATGCTGAGGTGAGTCCGTCTTGTTTTCAGTATGCCTCACCAGCCCATATGCTATGCCCTGAACTAAGCCTTCACTATTAAAACTTACTTGGAAGTCGCCGTGTACTTTGCAATCAAGAAGCTAGTGGAATGTTGGATGTGGTGCACGGTGTTCATGTTTGGTAAGCGCCGGCTACAGCGGAGTAACCCTCACTGTCACTAATGTGCTCCGTAACTTATGTCTGTGATGATGTATGTTGTGTTTTTGCTGCTGCTGCTGCTGCTGCTGCTGCTGCTGCTGCTGTTGTTGTTGTTGTTATTGTTGTTGTTGTTGTTGTTGTTGTTGTTGTTGTTGTTGTTGTTGTTGTTGTTGTTGTTGTTGTTGTTGTTGTTGTTGTTGTTGTTGTTGTTGTTGTTGTTGTTGTTGCTGTTGTTGTTGTTGTTGTTGTTGTTGTTGTTGTTGTGTGTTATTGTGTGTCGTGTGTGTGTGTGTGTGTTGTTGTTGGTGTTGTGTGTTATTTTGTGTTATTGTGTGGCGTGAAGGTCAAAGCACGGCCGGACAGCATACAGGTTAGTCCAGTGTAGTGTAGGATGATCTTGCCAGCAACACATTTGCTTTTGGTGCTGCACTACTTGCTTTGGTGCTGCACTACTTTTTTGAGCTGTGCACGTCGCACTTCTACTGTCACGCCGTGACCGCCACATTCTCTTTGCTGTGGTGGTGGCCAATACTGGGAAGTTGAGACATGAGAAAAATAATTGTGAAAATGCTTAAACCTTGAAACCTTGCCTTTAAGCTGGCACATGTAATGAAGTGTGTGGATGCGTGCGTATGTGTTCACATGCGTGAGTCTGTGTGAGAAAGATTTTCTAGCTCCTAGCTCTTGTTTCATTCTCTTGGGTGTTTACCAACAGCCAGTGCATGCCGGAGTATATAGTGCGGTGTGTGTGTGTGTGTCTGTCTGTTTGTCTGTCTGTCTGTCTGCCTATGTATGCCTGTGTCTGTCTGTCTGTGTCCGTCTGTGTCTGTCTGTGTCTGTCTGTCTGTCTGCGTGTGTCTGTGTGAGAAAGATTCTCTATCTCCTAGCTCTTCTTTCGTTCTCCTGGCTGGTTACTAGTACTAACAGCCAGTGCATGTCGGAGTATGTGGTGTGGCGTGTGTGTCAAAAGATGAAGAATAAAATGAAAAGTGGGATTCACTGGCCAGAAAAAAGCCACTTCAATCAGCTACTAAACCCAGCACAAGTTACTATGTGTAACACACTGGTAGCTTGGTAGCTATCATCGCTTCGTCGATGGGTATGTGTAAGTGTAAGTGTGTGTATGTGCCCATGTGTGTGTGCTTGTGTGTACGTGTGTGTGCGCGTGCGCGCGCGCGTGTGTGTGTGTGTGTGATTACATGCCTGGTGTGTATCTTTCAGGGCTGGCAGTATCTTGGGACAACTCTAGCAAACAATGAACAGGAACCTGAGGCCATCATTGCCCTCAAGAAGTATGTATACATCTGCATTCCTGTATTGCTGCTGACTTGCTGTTGGTCTTTGAATGTAACCATTGCTAGAGATGGTACAATGCTTCTGTCAAAAATGATTTACCTGCTTAAATCCCTCATCACCCACTCATGACAGGTGGATTTCATGTGGTAGTCTGAGTGAGTCTTTGTTAAATTAAGATTGCTGCTCTTGGCTTTGTCCGTCTAATCACAGGTGTTTATCTTTGGAGAGTGGCAATTTGACTGCACTTATGACATTGGCAGTTGGTCTCACCAATGAGAACTACCCTTTGCAAGTAAGTGCTATTTTTTGGTTTTTCATTTTCGATTTTCTTCTCCGGTAGAATTTTCCATCTTGTCTCTCCTTCCTCACGCAGAAACAACAAAAGTTCAGCCATCAGCACGCCAAGAAAAAAACACTTGCTGACCTCTGATTGGCTAAGGGCAGTTAGCCAATCATTTCAGGTTCAGGTGTGAAGTTCAGAGCAAGGATAGGTCATAAAAGTAATCGTTCCAGGAGGGGAAGGTGGTCTGGGTGTGGGATAGCTAGGTGTGGGATGAGCGCACACACACACAGAGCACGCAGAGACAGAGCACGCAGAGACAAAGCACGCAGAGACAGAGCACGCGGAGAGAGAGCAGGCAGAGACAGAGCACGCGGAGAGAGAGCATGCGGAGAGAGAGCACGCAGAGACAGAGCACGCGGAGACAGAGCACGCGGAGAGAGAGAGAGAGAGAGAGAGAGAGAGAGAGAGAGAGAGAGAGAGAGAGAGAGAGAGAGAGAGAGAGAGAGAGAGAGAGAGAGAGAGAAGAGAGAAAGAGAGAGCATGCAGAGAGAACCCACAGAGCATCCGTGAATACTGGCTGTGCGAGCTCAGTAATGGGTGTTACTTGGGGTTTCTCAGTTTCTAAAAAGATACGGTGTGATATCATTTTAGAGTGAAACCCTGAGTAGCAATCATTACTGAGCTCGCACAGCCTATATTCATGGATGCTCTGTGTGTTCTCTCTCTCTCTCTCTCTCTCTCTCTCTCTCTCTCTCTCTCTCTCTCTCTCTCTCTCTCTCTCTCTCTCTCTCTCTCTCTCTCTCTCTCTCTCTCTCTCTCTCTCTCTCTCTCTCTCTCTCTCTCTCTCTCTTTCTGTTTCTCTCTCTCTCTCTTTCTCTCTTTCTCTTTCTCTCTCTCTCTCTCTCTCTCTCTCTCTCTCTCTCTCTCTCTCTCTCTCTCTCTCTCTCTCTCTCTCTCTCTCTCTCTCTCTCTCTCTCTCTCTCTCTCCCTGTGCTCTCTGTATGCTTTCTCTGTGCTCCCTGTGCTCTCCCCGCATGCTCTCCCCGAGTGCTCTCCCCGCATGTTCTCCCCGAGTGCTCTCCCTGCTCCCTGCATGCTCTCCCCGCGTGCTTATCCCGCATGCTCTCCCCGAGTGCTCTCCCCGCATGCTCTCCCCGCATGCTCTCCGCGAGTGCTCATCCCGCATGCTTTCCCCGAGTGCTCTCCCCCCGTGAGCTCTTCATGAACATGTATGTGTTCTTGTTCTCTCCGTTTGTTCTCCTTGTGCGTTCACCTGGTGTGTTCTCCCTGTGTGTTGTCTCTGTGTGTTGTCTCCCTGTGTGTGTGTATGTGTGTATGTGTGTATGTGTGTATACATGTATGTGTGTGTGTGTTTGTGTATGTGTATGTGTGTGTGTATGTGGGTGTGGGTGTTTTCTTTGCTGCAGGCATGTGATACTCTATGTGAATGGGTAAAAGCTAATCCTGCGTAAGCGATGCTCTCTCAAGAAAGAATTATCATTTTATTACTACGAGCCTATACCGTCAACAGGGTTCTAGCCAGGTCAAAATAGTAGGGGGGGGGGGGGGGGGGGGGGGGCAGGGAAAACAGTTGCCGCGTAACCCATTTTTTCCATTTTCCAAAATTGTCTTGCCATGCAAAAAATGCAACGCACGGGAGCGAACCCTCGACTTCACCTCCGACTACAGTCCATTCATAAAAAGATGCACCCTGGCTCTGGCGAGCTCCCGTTTTTGGCGATTTTATCGTACATAGTGCAGTTCCGCGAGATTTGAAACTTGATAGGTGGTCCAAAACAAGCGCCCCCTACCTTCCTTTGGCTAGAACCCTGTGTCAAGTACAGTTTATTGTGCCCCCTGTCGTTTTCTACTTGTGCAGCGACTTTGTTTTTTGTTGGTCTTTTGTTTTACTATGAAAATATGAAGAAATGGTGTAGGGAAAAAATATGGATTCAAACAAGTTTCCGTACAACACTCATCAGGAATCGTCGTTGTACTAAAGGACACTGAAACAAAAATTGAACTATTATAGAAAATCTAAGTTAGAGAAATAACACTAAGAGCAACAGCTGTGAAATTTACAAGTGTGAATTTTAACAATCAAAGCGAGAAATGAACAAAGGAGAAAGGAAGGAAAGACAACGTGATAACACATAACAGCAGTACATTACACCTAGAACATTAACGGCCGAGCTTGGCCGCACTAAACACGACACGTTACTTGAACAATTTCAACCCAATTATACTATCTTTCTGTACACACAAATTAGGCTTATACAGACGCTGATAGATAGCTTCCAACACTTTTAACTGTAGTCCATAACCATGACGACCACGGCACAATACAGTGAACGAAGAGTCGGAATACGAATTGCAACAATCAGGACTAGCTAGCAGATGATTGTACACTGAAGACCACGAAACCTACGCACAACACTAACACTCTCACCGGCACTCTCACCATCACTCCCATCACTGCTCTCCGACTCACTGCTCCCTCCGCCGTCCGTTCCATCCTCCTCTTTGTGTGTACAGAAAGATAGTATAATTGGGTTGAAATTGTTCAAGTAACGTGTCGTGTTTAGTGCGGCCAAGCTCGGCCGTTAATGTTCTAGGTGTAATGTACTGCTGTTATGTGTTATCACGTTGTCTTTCCTTCCTTTCTCCTTTGTTCATTTCTCGCTTTGATTGTTAAAATTCACACTTGTAAATTTCACAGCTGTTGCTCTTAGTGTTATTTCTCTAACTTAGATTTTCTATAATAGTTCAATTTTTGTTTCAGTGTCCTTTAGTACAACGACGATTCCTGATGAGTGTTGTACGAAAACTTGTTTGAATCCATATTTTTTCCCTACACCATTTCTTCATATTTTCATCGTTTTATTGCACATCGTCTCCACCGTTTTTGTTTTACTACTTCAAGTACTTTTGTTTTACTGCACGTGGCGCTCTTGATCTAATCCATGCCCCAAACAAGCTTGGAAGCGACATGCATCGTAGCATGGGAGTGCAGATCAACAGTACTTTCAAAACGGTTCTTTATCTTCCAGCTACATTGTACTTCAAAGTAGCAAAAACTGCCCGTTGTAACTGTGGCTAATCTAGGACACAACACATACATCGTCTATCATAATTATAAATGAGATTTAGCTGCCTGCAAGTTTCTAGAATGACTGTGGCAACAATACCTTTACCTTACTCTTGCACTGTAGCCACAGCTCTTCAATGTGTCTGAAAGCAGGAACAACGTGTTGCTGTTGTCACTGTGTGTGTGTGCGTGCGTGCGTGCGTGCGTGCGTGTGCGTGCGTGTGTGTGCGTGCGTGCGTGCGCGCGCGTGCGCGTGTGCGTGTGTGTGTGTGTGTGTGTGTGTGTGTGTGTGTGTGTGTGTGTGTGTGTGTGTGTGTGTGTGTGTGGATGACTGAATGTTACTGTACTGTACATGTTGCGGCGATGTTTCCTGGTGTAGATATTCCCACCTTGCTGCAACGAGCGCCGACATTCCGGAATCGGCTGATGCTCGGGCAAGTAGCTTAATGTCACAGTAAGCAATGAAAGTAGGCTATCAACTGTTTTTAAGAAGCAACGACAATTACCGGCGAGTCTCTTGTGTGCCCAGTTAGAACACTCTTTAGAGGATAGTTATGAAAACCCAAGCTCCCTTGGGCATGTACTTTGATTTGCGTATCCAGTCATACCATACAGGCTGGTGCCATCTCATCATCAGCCAAGTATCCATGCAGCAATTGTTGGTATTGTATAGTACTCTGTTACACTACAGATGAAGTGCAATGCTCAATGTCCAGTCTAGTAGTTTCTCAATCTGTCTGCATGCTGCACTCAATGGTATTGAGCAAGTGCACTTTGGGCACACGACTAGCGTATGAATGGTTCCAGTAAATGTAGTGCTGTAAGGCAAAGGTTGTTGATACTTTGTAGTACAGTGTGCTTTGCACTGCTGTCCTCAGGCCACCTCTCATGGCACAGTGCATGCTTTGAAGCACTGAAGTGAACTATTGATAGTCTATGCGATTGTGGCTTTGTTTTTTTCCCTCTTTTCTAGCTGGGCGTGTGTTTACGTGCACTGCACCCCCGGCACCTGTCCAGCAACGTTATCCCCACTGATGTCTAGCCGTAGGGTGTTGCACTGCACACCTACCTGTCCAGCAACGTTATCCCCACTGATGTCTAGCCGTAGGGTGTTTTTACAGTGTGTGTTGGTTTCGGTTTGACTATTTGTTGTTTGCAGATCTAAATTCCAGCATGCCCAGCAGCTATTTCTGGATGCAGCGCGCATTTCACCAGATAAACTGGATGCAGATGTCCAGGTACTTGATTTTGATTTCACCAATAATCACAACACCATAAAGTACCGCCGCGTTGTCATGGTCGTGTTTTAGAGGACGGGTCTTGTCCACAGGTCATACTACACGTATACTTTGTACACGTATTGCACATTGTGCAGTCAATCCGTTTACTTTTGAGCGGTTGCAAGCTCCACACAAGAACATTCTAAGAGGGACCTTAGTTAGTTAAACAGGCCACGGTCTTGAGAGACATAAGCATAGGCATTGGTGTTGTGTGCACGCATGCACACGTGTATAGTTACAATTGTGTTTTGTGACAGTCTGTATGCGTGGATCCATAAGTGTGGGATTCTCCAAGTTTAAACGATGTCTGGAGTTCGAAGAGATTAAGAGCTTCAGAGAATCTCCAAAGGTCTTGTAGTCTTTTGGCTCCTGATCACGATGGTGTACTTTATTTTCCCTGCGATGACTGGAAATGGGTGAAAAACTTGAAAAGAAGGTCCCCAGAATTGTCCCGAAGTACCGAATGACGTCACGCCGGACTTGACCTTCACGCGTACATTTGTCGTCAAAAACGAAGTCCAGCCCATGTGCTGGACCTGGACCACTTGGTGATTTCTTTCTTCGTTATAATTATGTTTGTGTGTTTGTGTGTGTGTGTGTGTGTGTGTGTGTGTGTGTGTGTGTGTGTGTGTGTGTGTGTGTGTGTGTGTGTATGTGTGTGTATGTATGTGTGTGTGTGTGTGTGTGTGTGTTTGTGTGTTTGTGTGTGTGTGTGTGTGTATGTGTGTGCGTGTGCGTGCGTGTGTGCTTGTGCGCAGGTCGGTCTGGGTGTGCTGTTTCATCTGGCTCTGGAGTATGATAAGGCTATCGACTGTTTTACGGCTGCAGTACATGCTCAACCTGATGTGAGTGTTGTGTGTGTTCGGTGCTTCTCAATTTCCCTGTAGACCATTGTAATGGTGCTTGGTATACATATACCGGTTGTTGATTTGTGGCTAGAGGACTTGATGAATGTCTCTAAAGTCTAAATGAATTCCATTGTAAGTAAGTAATGTACACAATGCTGTAGACAGCAAGCTGTTTTGTACATCTAGGCCTCATCAGTACAGCTACCAGCTTTTTAAGTAAGCCGAGCTACCGGCCATGGTGCAAAGGTGGCACCACAGACATTGATGTATGGGTTATATCAAACCTGTCCTTTGTTCTGTTTTGCCGCAGTCACACTGTTCTCATTATGCTTTGCCTGCCTAGTCCTGTGCTGCGTTAGTAGAAGTCTTGATATTCCATTCTCAGCCCATTCACCCAGGATATTGATCTTTCCATTGAGGTGGTGTGGATCTTTGAGTGATTGTATCCGTACGGGTTTCCTGAATGCATCTGTTTGGTTGTGCACTGAACAGAATGCACACCTTTGGAACAAGCTCGGTGCCACGTTAGCAAACTCAAATCGCAGTGCTGAGGTGAGTGAGAACCATGTGCTGACCATGTCCTTACTGTTACTGACATGCACACGCACACACACGCACACACACGCGCACACACACACACACACACACACACACGCGCGCGTGCGCGCACACACACACACACACACTCTCGCACACACACCGCTCACATCTGCTAAGCTGCCCCCATTGAGAGGGGGTGGGGGAGGGAGTGGATCACATCTTTCCAGTAAAGCATCCGGTTTCATCATGTCATGGCAGATCCTGCTGCTGTCGAAATCTCTCACCACCTGCACACCTGCACACATCCTGTCTATTCTACTGTGTCAACCTGTAGGGCTTGAAAATGGTGGCGTCAAACACAATCAGGCGGTATCAATTTAGTATAAGATTACTACAGTAGAACCTGTCAGGGCGGCCACCTGTCCTTGAGGACCACTACAACCAAGACTGAGGGATGTTATCTCCAGTCAAATGACCCTAGATAAGAAGTCTGAAGACCACCTGTGCATGGGGACCACATTTGTACGGTCACTTGAACGTTCGCCGTAGACAGGTTTAACTTTACCTTTGGATCAACTCCTCTGTAGCTGTTGCAGGGTGGGTGTAGGCAGGTGTGATTTGCAGGTGTGATTTATTTGTTACCAGCAGTGTGTCACCCAACTGAGCTTGTCATGTGAAAGAGTTTGCTTCAAACGTGCAGGAGTCTGCACCGAAATTGGATCCAAAAAGATTGCCGCCAAGTTGATCCCAAAACCAGTGTCGCCGTGGCAGTGACTTAGCACTTTCAAACCTAACCTATGCCAATGCAGGGGGCATCGGAAGGTATTCCACATTAATGGGGCCATCACGAGGTGTGTGTGTGTGTGGGGGGGGATTGGTTTGGAAAATTGGGCCCAAAGAGCCCATATTTTTGTTGCTTCGAAAATCACAAGATTGACGCATCGGTTCCGACGTCCCCTCCCGTCCCCCCCCCCCATCCTATGGTGTCTATTGTCTTGTGCTCTTGTCAGTAATGTTCTTTGAAGTAACTCTTAGAACAACATGTTGTTGTGCATATTTTTCTTGTGCAGGCTGTAGATGCGTATCGACAAGCATTGGCTCTGTCACCAGGCTTCATTCGCTGTCGCTACAACCTCGGTATCAGCTGCATGAACCTCGGTGCACATAAGTGAGTGGCTTTGAGAATGCACGCACCTACTGTGCCCAGTAAACTCAGGCTGGCCTATTCAAGTTGGTCAGGCCATGGCCCGACCAACTGTTGGACCGCCAACAGATGTTATTGCTGATGAGATCATGTGTACCCGCCACATCATACACAAAGTATGAACGACTTTTAGTTAAGTTTAGTAGGGCCGGATGAATCAAAAACTGCTTCCGGCGGTCATGCTAGTCAACCAGCAGCCTTTTATCATCATTAGGGAGGTTTCGCTCTACGTACTAGTATGAAAATATCGTAGGAACTGCACGTAATTCTCATAGGTACAAATCAGCGCTGTTGGGTTTCGCTCTGTGTGATTTTTTCACGACTGCTAAGCATGCCTTATTGCATTGGAGATGCATTGGCTGCATGCGTCCACAGCATGCACCACGAACCGAAACCACGCTCTCCGTTTTGTGTTCCACGTGACGTCTTGTGTTTCGCGCGGCTTGATAAATCCGGAATATCCTGAAAACAATATTTCAAAAAGTCCTACAGAGGACCAAACGTAGGAAAGCGCTTTCCTATGGAAATTCGTGGAGAGATTTACGTATGAACGTTGCCCTCGCTCCCTGGCACGTACAACATAGTACAACATAGTACAACATAGTACAACATAGGGATCATAGGGATGTTTATACGTACTTCAAGCAATTAGTAACTAATTACCAACTTGTAGAGAGAGCGAAACCTCATTCTCATCAATATGCTCCAGAGTACCATGATCACACAGCAATGACGCAACCAAGTCCTTCTCCGCCGTTCGTGTGAAACACTCATCACACTCATCAGACAGTTTCACACGAAACTCTGAGTAACGGCGGAGAATGACTTGGTTGCACTGTTGCTGCTTGTGAATTGTATTACTTGTACAATGTACAATGTACATGTACATGTATAATCTATACATGCATGTACATTGCTGCTCAATAACTGGCTCTGTCCACTGGACATAGAGCACTATACGCAGCCTGAGGACCTTAGACAACTGCCCCAGAATACCAATATGCCCCACGGTATTCTGTTGCTGCTTTGGGTTATTTTGTGGACTACATGTGCATGCAGTTGCTGTGGTTGCCTACATGATGCTGCTGTATGTGTGTGTGTGTGTGTGTGTGTGTGTGTGTGTGTGTGTGTGTGTGTGTGTGTGTGTGTGTGTGTGTGTGTGTGTGTGTGTGTGTGTGTGTGTGTATGTGTGCTTTCCAAGATTCCTTTTGAGTCTCTCTCCCCTCTCCCGGGGAGACCCACGTAACCAGTTTTGGCAGTGAGCAACAAGTACAAGTACAAGTGTGTGTGTATGTGTGTGTGTGTGTGTGTGTGTGTGTGTGTGTGTGTGTGTGTGTGTGTGTGTGTGTGTGTGTGTGCGTGCATGCGTGCGTGTGTGCACCATATGCCCTACTTACACTGGTGGCAAGTTTCAAGCTAGCACTGACGTTCTCAAATCCTGGTCTCTTTTTTCTTGTCGTGTCCGTCTTGCTAGGGAAGCATCGGAGCATTTTGTCAGCTCCCTCGACCAGCAGCGACAGGGACGTGCACTTGATGGGCAACGCTCGACAATGTCAGACAGTATATGGAGAACACTTCGCACGTGCTTGGTGCTTCTAGGCGGCGACCGTAATCTCCTGCGTCTGGCTGACGATTTCGACCTGGATGGTCTGATCAAGGAGATGGGTATTCAGCGCATCTAACTTATTACTATGATTTTGACCTGGATGGTCTGATCAATTAGATGGGTATTCAGCGCATCTAACTTCTCACTATAGAGCCATAACGATGACCGACATGTGCTGGTCGTCTACTTCTTCTCTGGCTCTTCGCATAGTTCCACTGCTGGGTACAGTGGAACACCTGACCACCTTCATGTGTGGGTAGCACTGTAGATTGATGCTTAATTTTAAAACACTCTATTTCGAAGATTACCCCTCTATAGTGGTAGACTAGTGCTGGCTCACTTAATTCTGGCTGTCTTGCTTGCATACAGCCTGTTATAATGACTTATAGAATGTGTTGTAAACTTGTAATTTACCAATTTCATTGCAAAAATGTCCCGAATGGTGTGCACACAAGCGCGAAGGAGGCGCATGTAGAGTGACGTATGCTTCCTGGAGATGTACTGCTAGGTACTGCAAGTGTGTTATGCCACAACGTTCACGGCATGTCCCACACCACTCAGCATCTTGCAGGGCACAGGCGATACTATCCGATAGGCATGCGTATTTGTCTGTCGTTTGAATGTTATCCACCTACCGATACATGTACTTTTTGACTTGAAGTACACACGTCATGTACAAGATCATGTGAGGGCGGGAGCCATGGCCCATGTATAAAAAATTTATACACATGATTATTTACTGGTGCAGTGATGGTGATATTATTGTGGATGGGCAGTATCGGCTACCGCGAGCAAAATGTGAAAAGTTCCGGTCAGGGAGTACCGGTATTTTACGACTCCCTGGTTCCGGTCAGTTTCATATCAGCTCCGCTCAGTAACTCACAATGATCATATCTCCCCCCCCCCCCCCCTGTTCAAGAACGATTGAAATCAGTATGGGGCGAGGTCCGAGGTACACATGTACACAACCAGTAAAAGCCCATTTTTTACAACTCTTTCGCATGCACGATGTATGGCGACGGAAGAAAAAAAAAGAGCGTGCTCCCAGCAGGGCTCGAACCTGCGACATTCGCGTTATTAGCACGACGCTCTAACCAACTGAGCTATGGGAGCTCATACCATTGAAGAGTAGATGAAGCAAGATAGAGATCAGCACTGACATACCCACTACAGCTGTAATACTATCGGTAGATCTACATCATGCATGAGGAAGAGAATCTCCGCGTGTGGATTTTACATGATTATTTTTTTACGATCATTGTAGTGCTGGTATTTTGTATTTGCCGCGGTCAAGTCTTGCTGGATTTATATTCCGCCCAGTAGGCCTACGATTGGGAATAGGTTCTCCCTCTTGTACTCAGGTCTTGATGACGAGTCCCAGCGCGACACCTACTAGTATCTGATCTGCTTCATCAATCCGTTGCTCGGATGATCATCACAAGTAAAGTTACGTGCATTCTTTTCAAGCGCAATGTTTGCTTAGCCTACTTCGAGAAGCTACATACCGGTATACATGTACGAAGTTGCGAACAGAATTATGCAATCAAAGAGGTGGGAACCAAGTTAGAGAGACACCGCACACAGCAGGTAGAAGAAAATTAATTTAATGTCGTTGGATACGTCCATCCTGATCCGAAGTATCTCTGCCTCTGGAGAATAAAAATAGTACTGTGGTATGAATGTTAAAAAGTAATATGTGCAAATGGGCATGGGAGATTTCGATAAATCAATATCATTCGCTCAAAAAAGGCTGATGTAAAAGTCGAGGGACAGGGAGCTGGTTTGTACAAAACTTGCTGATGTTATTAAAGGACATAGGTGAGTACGTCAAAGATATGCTATCACAATGCCGGCAGAGGATAGAGTTTGTGCCTAAAGCGTTCAAAGCACCGCTGGCTGCAGGCTCCAGTCTCAATCGGCTCTCCGTATTGATCTTGGTTGCGCTGCACGCTGGCAGCAACTCCCTTGAATGTATGCACAGTCAGACAAGAGAGCCCGTTCAGAAATATCGGCCGACCACACTCGCAACTCAGTGCTGACTTGAGGTAGGAGTGGATGAGCCATGGGAGTTGATTGTGCACAACAGCAATCCTACAAAACAAGAACAAATTGAAGCAAAATGAAAAATGGGGAAAAAGAAGAAAAAAAAGTCTCACACTCGCAGTGAACAGGATTCGAACCTGTGCGGGCAGAGCCCAATTGATTTCTAGTCAATCGCCTTAACCACTCGGCCACCACTGCATTGGTAGCCTCATGACTGAATTTGTGAGGCATTGTCATTGAGGAGAGCTTCTTGAGGTGTGTGTGTGTGTACGTGTGTGTTCAAATGTCACTGAAAGGAATCCCGTGCTCACTCACCTGTTGCAAACCACTGCTGTGGCTGCCAGGTCCATCAGAGATGGAACAGTCCAGGTGTTTGGTGGAGGCCAGTTTCGACGGCTGAGCATGACTGGATCGAAGAGAACTCCCGCCATGGAGAGCTCCTCCATGCGCAGCATTGTCAACGACTTGGGAAGATACTGTGCATTGCAGTGAATACAACAATACAAAGCAATTTTTATAGCTACACTGGTTGCAGAAGATGGAAATCAGAACCCTGGCAGTTTCCACAGTCAGTTCAGTTATCACACGGGCTGGCATCGGCTTGCTTTGTCTCTCGTGTGTGGTATGCTGTTCTACACGCATCGGATGCGCAAGCGTAGCAGCCATTTCAACACTATGAGAATTGGAAATACATGTACATGCACGTACAGCCATACAATTCCTATACGGTATCTGTGTGCACACACTCGTACATACAATTCCCATACGGTATCTGTGTGCACACACTCCGTACATTTCCCATACGGTATCTGTGTGCACACACTCCGTACATTTTCCTATCTGCAGAAGATGGGGTCGGATTCAGTCCCTTGCCACCACTGTATCTTCAAGTGCAGAACATTCTTCCATACTAAAACATGCCGTTATGAGTGGGCTGGAGGATCCTTAGTAAAAGAAAATATCTGGACAAACCTTTAGTTGATTATGGCTGATATCAAGACGTCTCAGTTGCTTCAGGTCACCAAGGATGTGAGGCAGTCGTGTTATCTTGCAATGGCTCACATCCAGCACCAGCAGAGCCTTGAACGTGCACAGCATATCAGGCAAGCTGGACATATAATGTAAACACACACCAAACGTAATGCCTGGTTATAGTATTACTAGTATGGTAAGTACAACCCACAGGCCACAGTCAATTGTGAATGGAGGCACAGGAGGTATTAGAAACTTTCCTTGAACTGGGCACTACACAGTGAGACTTTCCTTGAACTGGGCACTACACAGTGACGTCTATGCAATCTTCACTTCCTCAACACCTTTGCTTCCCCAGCGGGGAAGACACGTGCCTAAACCGAAATGTTCAGGGCGGGAATTATCTATACAAATGTTCACACATACACAACCACCACCACGCACACCACACACACACACACACACACACACACACACACACACACACACACACACACACACACACACACACGTGTGTGTGCATGGTACAATGTTGAAATATTGTTGTACAGAACAGCTCCAGGATTGCATCGCAAATACGCATGGCCATCACTTCTTGCCGTCAGGTGTGTACCCAATACACATGTACTGCTGCTGCTGCAGAAACAGCGACTCGTTTACAAGGAGAAATGCAAGCGCTGTCACTTGCACAGCAAATAGTGTACAGTGCACTGCAAATAAGACTACGAGTACAACAACCAGCGTTGGCAATTAATTCCGCTTGAGATCGAAAAAGCAGTTCATCATTGATGTCATTCACCATGAGCCATGGAAGCGAGCTCGGCTATGCCCAGTCTTGTACCGCATTTGCATCACACCTATGACATGATCTATCACACATTGGCAGTTTAAAGACAACAACGAGCTATATTTTACCAACTCATACGCAAAGTTGCGCAGTCTGGTTTACCTTTCAATCGCATTGTTTGACAGGTTCAGATTAATCAAAGATGTAGCCAGGGTAGAGCAACAAAACTCAGGTGGGACTGACGTCAACTTGTTATGGCTCAGGTCCAGCTGTGTCAGGCTTCCTGGCCAAGACATGTCCACAGGCAGGGCAGTAAGGGAATTCTGCATTTTCACAAATGAACACACACACACATAAGCAAATACATGCAAACACACACACACCACACACACACACACACACACACACACACACACACACACACACACACACACACACACACACATACTCACACAGAAAAACTGTTCATGAAAACATCCAGAGTTATTCCATATCAACGCCACCTTGTATAGTCATAGTGCACAGCTACCATACATGTGGTGAACCAGAAATCAAGTCTTATTTGCCACTCCTGCATTACATGAACAATATACCGGTTTGCACATTGGCAGACGAAAAAATGCTTCGGATACGAACTTACCAAGTATTACAGGTCTACCCTCGTTAGTTTTGCCTGTTCCCCTCAGGGTGCATATTATTAGAGCTCCATTGCAACTGGAAACAAATCATGTGCTCCAAGCTAACACTCATATGATAGGCATCGTACAATGGATCAATATCAAGAGGTACAGTGGAGATTGGATATAACAACACTTCTTCGGGAGAGAACAAAACATCACTATATTCGATCTGTCACTAAACCCGATCTTAACAAAGGACTTACTAAGCGACTTGGGCAACAGAATTGTGTCGCTAAACTCAATCTGTCGTTATATCCGATCTCCACTGTAATAAAAAATGAAAGGGTTATTAAATTGTCTGATGGAATGAACCCCTTTGACGCACCTTGGATAGGTCCAGGTAGCGCAGCAAAGCCAAGCGCATGATACGAATATCAATCTCAACGAGCCCGATTGACACTGCGCGGAGTTGCTCCAGGGTCTCAGGAAGCTTGGGCAAGGCGGTACGGTACTCGGCAAAACTGTCTGCCACAAACTTCCGCACTGCTTTCTTAGCCACAGTGAGGTCGGAGAGCGATGCAAGATTCTCGATACGTTTCTGTTTCTCCGGCGGTAGCCGGAGTATGGTGAGAAACTGACACAGTTCTCCTGGTTGTGCCTGCACAGGTAAACACCAAATACAGACGAAGATGACGTCTTGCCAGTGACAAAAACGCGCATGAGCATAAGAGAAATACTTTACCAGGGGAAAAACGAACGCCCTAGTTCAGTGCTTTCAGGAAGCATGCCAATGCACGTGTAATGACAAATCAGGTCCAACTGTGATTTTGAGAACCAAGAAGGCAAACACCACCAGAAACAACTGTGAAAATGTAGAATTCCAATTTTGCATGAACAAACAGATAGACAGACAGATGTCAAGCACGAGCTTAGTTCTCCAAACGATGACACGCCAGCTAGGTCAAGCTAGGAAATCCATAACGTCGTAGATTAGTAGGCAGCCGAGGTAACTCTCCTCCTGCATGTATATATTAACCGTGTCCTCCCGTCAACATCATTCTGAAGAAGATCAATATGGTCGAAACGTTAAAAGACTCGTCAGTATCAAGCCGTTCTCATGTTGTGTGCTTCAGCTACCTTTGGACGAGACAGACAGACAGACACTCATACTGTTCACACTGACAGCAGTGTGAAGTTTCAAGCACTGTACCTCACTAAAGTGAATATCCACCTTGGGATGATGCAGTGAGACCGTAGCACGGCCTTGAGACATGGCAAAACGATGGAACATTGCACGTACGTTGGAAGTTGCCTTCATCGGTCAGGGCATGGCAACATCGTAAAACATGCACACACACACACACACACACACACACACACACACACACACACACACACATGCACACACGCACACACACATGCACACACACATGCACACACACACACACATGCACACACACATGCACACACACATGCACACACACAATTATATTGATCTATGCCGCCGTTATGCCGCTGTTTTGAACTGGCTCTAGACAAGAAGAAATGGCTGATGCTTGTGGACAAATGTGCTGGGCTTGCGTCATATGTTCTAACAATATTGAAATACCTTTTGTTGGCTCGTCTGCCTGAATTTCATTGACAGATGCGTTAAGCCCATGGATCCTTCCATGAGTGACATGCGAACTATTATGCCGCCGTTGTGGCTGTAGCAACCAGTGGTGCGAGAAATACCCAATCTTGCTAGCAACTGCACCTTTGAAGTTTCCCTGGCCTGTAGTCAGATATGTCGCGAATGGGCGTTGCATTACGTAATTTACCACCGTGTGACCATGTGAACTGAGAAAAAATCAATCAATCACATCTAACATTTACCTTGTATCGCGTGCCTTGCTTATTCTTTCCGGAACAAATCTTCAAGTATAGCGGTTGACTGGACACTTCACCACTGGAAGATTTCTTTTCTGGACCGTGGTGTCCCAGGCCAACAGTTGAGTGGCATGGTTTGGGCGAAGCATGGCTTGTGCGAGAGATGTCCACAGACACGACGCTAACTTTGCATGTGAACTTCATTTCTTAACACGAAGGTCGCCCGTCGGGGCCACACTATACCCAACCATTAGTCATGTAGCCATCCGTAATACCGCTCTCATCTTCTTATTTTCTTGACTATTCGTTCAAAGCATTTCTTATTCTCTCTCTCTACTCCTTGAACAATCGCCACTCCGGAAATCGCCACGCCATGCATGATCCCAGTCCAAACAGCTTTTTGAAAAGTAGTGCTGTGGCGGCAACACGTGGGGATTACCCGTGTGTACGTCATAGTCTCCAGGCGCATGCGCTTTTTACGTGAATGACGACACGTCACAAAAACACCACTGGATTCGCGAAAACTGCTCCGTTGAATCTGTGTATGTGGAGTTATGTACTCGTACAGACTGCTTCATTGTTTTCCTCGTCAGCTCCAGCTGTTTGAACGTATTTTGAACATTGGTCAAGAGAGCTCAAGAGATTGACTTTTCTGTAGAATTGTGGAGAATTCGAATCATCAAAGAACAATAGGTAAGCAGGTAATGGGTTTGCTTGCATACTGCTCTTTCTGGTTCTCTTTTCACAACTGGCGTTGTCATGAAATTTGAATTACCGTATTATCTCTAATATAAGCACAGTCTCCAATAATAGCACAGTCTCCAATAATAGCACGTCTCCAATAATAGAACACCTTGGGGCGGCATTCAAAAAATAAAGTGCTCAGTCTCCATTATAAGCACACTGTGTAAATTCATTATCTGTACCGGCGAAAAAAACCCTGAAATGTGTGTGTCATACATGAATTTGGCATGGCAACATGCCTCTGAAATGAGGTTGAAATAATAATGGAACAGTCTCCAATAAAGGAACGTCTCCAATAATAGCACGGGGCGGAGGTACATTGAAAAAATAAAGGACCGTGCTTATATTAGAGATAATACGGTACTCACTTGTGCTTATGGCAATTTCCCTAATGTGGCTGGGTTTTCTGGTGGTACAAATGTTGTGTAAGCCTATTATGTAAAGCTTTTCACTGCACCTACCGAGTTTTATGTGTCCGCTGTAGCAGTGACAATGAGCCGCCATGACAATTAACTGCAGAGCGAACGTCTTCCCCCTGTTGTAATCAGACGTTTGTGGACGTGATAAGTGTAGTTGTGTATTCATATCAAGAATAGCGGCTTTGTAAGCGGCTTCATCAAGTGATACTCAAATGCTACTGCACAGTGTCCAGTTGGGCGCAGATGCCTCTATATTGTAGACAGTGACTCAACCTCACAACCAGCAGAAGGGCATAGATGGTCTTGTAGAATGCATATGCTGAGCTCACAGTATTGGCTGACTGTCACATAGCTTCATAGGGTTGCGTATGCACAAGGGCAAGTGTGAACTGCGAGTTTTTCCATCGAAACTACAGTAATCTGGTGCTTTGAAGACCGCTTTGCCAAAGAAGGCCAAGCTGCAAAAATTAGAACGGCACGAGCTGGTGACTTTATCCTATAAGAACTTTTCAGGACTTTTACATACGTTTAATTGATTCCCGTAGCTATGCGAAAGACGTTACTTCAGTAACGCCTGGCGCTAGCCAGGGTCCACACAGCTTTAATTCCGTGTGTGTTTGTGCCGTCGGCATGCCTGGCGCTATCCCGTACCTGTCCCGTATCGTACCATCAAAGACAGCTGGCCACAATATTCAAATAGGGCTTTCAAATGCAAGATCATAACGTGAAGCAACTTGGAAGAATGAGTATGTATGCGAAGTGTATCGGGGGAATGCATGCAGGGCGATAGTGCGGGTTCGAATCCCAGGTTATGTCTTGAAAAATAGGAGAAATGAAAAATTTATAACATCCCTATGCTTTTTTTGCCTAGGTCATCAAGGTGGTAGACGGTGTCGTATTACCCTCGAATGCAAAGAGAAAGTTAACTTATTTCGCTCAGGGCCCTGTGCTATGCTTTTTTGCCTACATTGTAGCTCATCATGCATGTTATTCGAACAGATGGAAACTTTTTTGCAATACAATGATGTAGCCGATCAGTTCGTTGTGGTATGGTTGGGCATTGTAGCCGTCAAAGCATAGCGTAGGGCTCTGAGCTTCCAAGCTCTCTCGTTTATCGAGATTTGCTAGATGTACATAATTCTACATATTCTACACAAACCAGGGTCTATTTCTCTTTACGGGGACTGTACCTTCGCGGCCATTTTCGGACAGGGTCATATTCGAATGACCGTATCTTTGGCAAACATACATAGAATCGGTCCAAATTTTCTAGACTGTGCCTTCATACCTTGTAGTTGGAGTCCATCACAACAGTTGGGCCAAATGGATGTCTTATCATTGAAATTTCAGCAGGGGAAAATAAAGCAACGGACGCGCGCAGAGGGCAAAATGGTGCGCAACTTTTTTTCTAAGTGAACATGGTTGTATTGACTTGAAATGAAATACAGAGACCAAGAATACATGGCGGCAGGGTCGTTGTGTGTTGGGAGTGCTCCACAACACCAGACACAAGTACTGCAGCCTAAGGAATCACAAAGTGCGATCGCAAGAAAGAACGAGGGTTGATGAGTGTACTAAAACATGAGTAAATCAGAGTATTCGATGATGGCAACACACAACGGCCCTGCCCAATGACCACAGCAATCCAAAAATATATAGGTTTATGGGGCTACAGTGAAAGGCGAAGGCAAAAAGTTGCGCACCCTTTCGAAAAGGGGCTAAAAACAAGGAAAAAATGCACTCCAATCTGGGCATTTCCGGCTGTATTATAGCAAGTATTAGAGCTTTTACAGCTTCTCATGTGGTCAAAACGCACCAGCTCTGCTTCAACTGCTTGCTCCTCCCAGCCCTTCCTCCTTCTTCTCCTCCTCTTTCTCGACTCCTTCTCTCCTTCTGTGGACTTCTTATCCGACTTCCGGATGCGCACCAAATCCTCTCTTTCCAGGGCAATTGCTGTAAACTCTCCGTAGCTGCAGAGCATCTCCGACAATACCTTCAGGAGGGACACAGCGCCGCCGTTGAAGGTTAGGACCGCTAAACTGGCTGCAAGGTCCACGGTCTTCTTGCTGCAGAACTTCTCCTTGGGACACATGGTCCACATCATGCCATTAAAACTTTCATTAGCGTTCTTCTGTGTCGCACCCATCAAGCAGCGCTGTAGTAGATGCCTCTGACCGAGCCGCACGTAGAGAGGTTTGACCACTTCAAACACAGCCTTTGGAAGTGTGTGGTGATGAACATAGGTGGCCTCCTCACCGGTAACCTTCAACTTTTGCCATCTGCACCATGACGCATCACCAGGCGGACAGTACTGGTGCTGAGGGTGGTCATCCGTAGAACACCGGTGCATAAGCCCTGCCCATATCGCTTTGGCCATAACTTGTAGATCTTGGTGGTGCGCGCGGATAGCCATACCGTAGTATGTCTGCAGAGTGTCGATGAGTTTATCTGTAAGTCTGCCACGCCACCGATGGTCTTGCCGTCAGAGAGCTTCTTTCCTTTCATGGTGCGCTTTAGCTCTCTGAGCCCGGTACCCAGGCGCTTCTGGACGTGTCCAATGCACTCTTCGTTCTGGATATCCACGCCTGGGTACGGCTTTGCATCACATACAGCACGATAGCTCTTGCTGTCTCCATCGCCGATGAAGGTGGTGTACTGCAGCGAGCGCTCGGCACACAATCTATTCCACAGAATGGTGGTCGCCTCGCTCTTCATGCCAGGGGATGACCGTTCTGTGTTGATGTCACACGTGTGGGCAAGCCTCCACGCCGTGAACTTTTCTTCTGTTGTCTTGCCATTTTCCAAGTTTGAGTACCACATCTTGCATTGATGACAGTACTTGCCGCTGACATGGTAGTCGAGCAGCACTCACCCAGTATGATGTATCCCATGAAATGCAGATGAACACTCCGTACAATGATGAAAATCCCCTCCTCATCCATGTGCCATCAAAGCTGACGGTATGTTCCCATCAGGGTGGAGTAGCTTCACCGCCTTGGCTGCAACCTGCATAGAACACTGTGCCATGGACGTAACTGCCATCGCGACAGCCTTCTGTTGTTTTAGGAAGCTATTCTCCGTCACGGGGGGGGGGGGGGGGGTGGAAGGTTCATTATGCCGCAGAACTTCCGTAGGGCAGCATGGCCACAGCCGATGCGCCTCATGGCCAGCACAGAGCGTCTGTTGACGTCATGAAAGTGCTTCTCCTTGCTTGAAACTGGTACGGTGATCTGAAAAGTGCAGTCATCGTTGTCGCAGCACAAAATTACATTGCACGCTAATCCTACACGGCTGCTCTCGGAAATAATTACTCTTCCACCCTGGCAAGCTCTACAAATTACACTAACATCCAGGAGTTCCTGCAGGCAGTTGAAGTCAACAATTCGATTGCCATGACAGGCCAAATCGACATCGTCGTCGCTCTCCTCTTCACTATCACTGCTGTCTGGGGTAGAGGTATGGCTGGCTTCGCTGTCTTCGCTGTCAGTTTGCTCCAACCAGAGAGGACAATTTTTCAATTTCCGTGCAGAAGCGCCTTAAGAAGGCGTCGCAGCAGACTCCTCAGCCTCAACAGCAACCTCAGCAGCCGCCTTGGGTGGGAAATACTTCCTCTTCGATCGTCTATGTCCAGAACCTGCGCTACTTCTGCTTTTCTTTGTGTTCGCCATCGCTCCTTGCTCAAAAATCAGTCATGCATTCGATCTCTGACCGATTTGAACCAGCTCATAACGGCAAGTGTCGGTCATGTTGTGAACAGATCACCTAGCAACAGCTCGGGACTCGCTCGCCCCCACAAGGGGGCGTACAGCCTCTAAAACGCCGGAGTTCCAAATGTCAAATTTCGAGTCAAATCAATCAAATTTGGGAGGATGAGTCACTCAGTGCATCAACTTTGAAGGATCATAACTTCGGTTTGGATTGTCGCACAGCGGTCAAACTTCGCATGCTGACACTTCAGACTATGGACACTATTTTAGAAGAGGTTTGAAGACGATCCTCACGATTTCAATTTTTGACCCTCTGAAGGTACAGTCCCCTTAATCCATGCCTCTGGCCGGGTCATGTTGGCATACACAGTAGTAATATTTAATAAGCAGAATCAGCGAAGCGGACATTGGGCGTAGTCATGAACAAAAATAAAAGATGGATAATAAAGTTTCCGTACACGTTTCCGACATTCATCAGGGAAAATACGTCTCAATAATGAAATCTAGCAATAAACAACGATATATACGTGGAAGAGTACGAAATGCAGTATGTGAAAGAAAATAGTAGAAAAGAAGGTGAAGTGTGATGGACAAGAGGAGTGTGAACCAATAACAGGGGTGGGCAGGTGAGAAATAATAACAATGTGAGACTGAGAGAGGGTGAAGTGTAAGGAGTCGTATACCTCAACAGTAGTATAATAATTTTACCGTAACTACGACGGAAGTGTCTGCGTGGCCGGTATGTACATGTACGTCCAATGACGGCTGTATCACGTTCGCTTATATCACGTGACCCGAGTGATGACGGGTATTGCGTATGTTGAGTTGTTCCCGTGTACCACGTGAACGAATGATCACGAGTGACAGACTGCAACCCCTAGTAGAATCGGGCATCAGCAAAGCGAGGGTTCGTGAACTCATGCTCTCTTGTTACAGTCTGTTTCATGCCTGTGCAAGGCATTACTGTAATTTGACGACAGATGTGAAGATTTCTTTCGATATTGACAAAGTGTACCGTCTATGTGTATCATAGAGTATGGAAGCGTATTTATGCATGTACTTCGAGAAGTGACATGGACGACTAATAGTAGCCATTTAGTGTCAGCCTAGGCCAAAGAACGACATAAGAGCCCAGCCGCTGTTATTGCCCAAAAAACATTATAGCCTGTCCCCGCGTCTTCTGAACTGAAACTCACCAAGTAGCCAATGGCCCACGTGGTGTAGTTGTTCCAGGAAATGTGTTGCCTGGTTTATGTTTGTGCTTTTTTCTATTGAGCGTAGAGCACGGTCTCATCAAGTGGTGTGTGCTTTTCCTATGGACTTCTTTCATTTCCTGCACACAGGTTGCCATTACCTGCAATTATTTTAGCATAGCAATGTTGTGAGGCAGAGTAGGGCTGCTCTCTCTCTCCACAGCCATGCCTTCATCTTTACAAGTAGTACCTTTGTGTAGTACACTGTCCATGAGCTTCTAGTTTGAAGTTTTGGGGTTCAGATGGTCGGTAGTTTCGCTGGGGTAGTATGATTCTGTTGAAAATCCACTTTTCTTCCTAGAAAGTGTATGAGAAACTGCCGTAGTTTCTGGTTATAGGCCACACTTTAAACACTCATAATTTACCCATGGATGGAGACGCAGCAAATGGGATTTTCGGTCTTTGACCACTTTGATGGGTGTGATCTACTCACCTAGGAGCTGCATCTGCGCCTTGATCCTTGGGCGTGGTGGCGTTAGTACAGATGCGGAAAACTTGGCCTCCAGCCGAGTCTCACGTGAACCGAGATGTTGTTTAATTCACCCTAAAAAGTGATGTTGTTTAATTCACCCTAAAAAGTGATGTTGTTCAATTCACCCTAAAAAAGTGATGTTTAATTCACCCTAAAAAGTGATTGTTGTTTAATTCACCCTAAAAAGTGATGTTTAATTCACCCTAAAAAGTGATGTTGTTTAATTCACCCTAAAAAGTCGATGCGGCTGATACTACGATGGTCAAATGAACCTTGAAATAATGTGAAGATGTCTGTATTATTTCGTGACAAAAAAACTGGGTCTGGTGTAAACTCCGGAAAATACAGCACCCGATTTGTTGATGGATACAAACCGGGAGGTGGGTGTGGACTGAGTTGGCTTTTTATCTCAAAACCGGGCACTGAGCCATGTTTGCACAATTTGTTAGAAAGCAGGAGGCAGTGCTTTCCAACTCGGCTTTGTTTTTGTTTGAGTTGTGAGGGTGTAATGCATTGTTGCCTTGTAACTACATGTACCCTGAAAGCGAATGCCCTTGTAACGACAGTATTTATCTATCTTGGATGGATTGGGGGTGGGCACTGTGAGCTAGCATAGCTGCGCCGGTAGAGATTGAGTCGTTCTTCCCACACCCTTCCCCAGGGTTATCCGTGCTACTCTGTTCTTGAACAGGATAGAGGGCCACCCTGTTCTTGAACAGGATAGACGTGGGTCCAGGATGGGATGTATTTCACCTGCTACAACACGTGTGTGCTGTATCTTGTGTTTGAATTGTACATCTCTGGGTATTTATCTTGTGTTTGAATTGTACATCTCTGGGTATGTATCTTGTGTTTGAATTGTACATCTCTGCTTGAAGTAGCACAGCCCTGGTGTAATAATGTACAGTTCTGGCCGGAGAAATTCGACATGATGAAAATAGTAGTGTCGCGTTCGAATGCACAGAACAGTATAATTATGTAGTGCTGGGGCTGAGTATCCTCCGGCGCTATTTTATTTATGAGGTTGGATTTCTCTGACTAGTACCTTAGCATGAACATGTTTGATCACGAATGCGTGGCAGCTCTTTTGCTATCGTGTTAACTACTGCTTGTTCTTCTTTTCTTCTTCTTTGTTGCGTGTAGGTGAATGCTTGCACCCTGGTAGTATTGGTGTGGACATGGCGGCGCTGCCGAGCCTCTCGACGGTTCTCTCAGTATGCATTCTGGACAATGATGGGCAGCGCATCTGGGCAAAGTACTACACCGACCGCTTTCCCACCGTGGCCGAGCAGCGCACTTTCGAGAAGAAGCTCTTTGGCAAGACGCACCGATCGGCCAATGAGATCATCTTGCTAGACCGCGTGACGGTGGTGTACCGTAGCAATATTGACCTGCACTTCTTCGTGATGGGTGCAATGGATGAGAACGAGATCATGCTACATGGGCTGCTGAGCAGCATCTATGAGTGTGTCAGCCGTCTGGTTGGTAGGAATGCCGTTGAAAAGAAGTCCGTACTGGAGTGCATGGATGGTGTTCAGTTGATTGTTGACGAGAGTGTTGATGGTGGCATCATTCTGGAAGCCGATCCCGACATGCTAATGCAGCGGCTCAACTTCCGACAGACCGAGGAGGTTTCCATAGGCGGTATGACTGACAAGACCGTGATGAACGCGCTGAACAAGCTTTCAATGATGATTTAGGCCATGCTGTGTGCGTCAGGCCACATGCCAAGGTGATGATGAGAGTTGTATGGGTGATGAGTACTGATGACTGGTTTTTTTTAAACTAATAAATTGACATGTTAATAAGGTGAATTTAGTACAGTGTGATCTCGTGTACTTCTACGTGTGGATGAAGGAGTGGTGTGCTGGATGAATTAGCTTGTACTGTGGTGGTAGTTGGTGGTGGTGGGCAGGTGGGTCAGTGGGTTAGGGCAGCACTGTGCCATGCATGAATCTCACAGTGTGCTTGAAGTACAATGATGTGTGCTCCTCCTACACACTAGCCTTGCCATGAAATGTACTGTCTTGTACAAGTAGGTGTGCTGGTTTTGTTCCCTGGGATTCCTCTTGGGACCGTGCTGGATGTCTATCTCCGGTTGCAGCACAAGTTTGCAATGGAACGTGTGTGGTACCAACTTACCACCCATCTGCAGAAAGTGTGTTGATAATTTGAAAACTTGTTCAGCAGAGTTGTAGCCGGGTTTCTTTTCATTGTTTTAAGTTATCAACGACATGTGTTACACTGTGAGTTTCAAGAGTCTATAACCTCCCTGCACCCTGGCTACGAACTAGACTACAGTGTAGCATGTATGTCAGCATTGTGCTACTGCTTATTATTGTCCTATAGGTTTATATTGTGCTTGTTGAAGGAGCCAACGCGCCGTTCGGTTGATGTGTACACTAACAACCAGTGCATGCAGTTAGCACAAAGAGTTGATGGTGAACGAAAGCACATAGCAAGTGTTCATGGTTAGTATTGTTCCTTCATTGTGCCGTGTGATATGCAGAGCATGTCTGTGTGTGATTCCATGGCTATCGCGATACTCGAGGAGACCGCGCAGTGATGCGGTATCAGGGTGTAGTACAATACTACTCCCTGTGCGGTGTCACTCATTCAGAGCCATTTCACCCAATGATAAGGCATGCACTGGAATACCGGTAGTTATGCTGATGATGGCCATTGCTAGGAATAAACAGGAGAATGATGTTCACGTTAGTTGCTTGCAGCGAGTAGTGAAATACTGTCTGCTGTAAGAGTTGAAAGTGTGACGAATCTTTTAACGATTTGCAAAATGTCGGCATGCAGTTTTAACGATCCTGCCGGCACACACCTGTCTTCTATTTCTCTAGTACAGAGGAAAGAAGAAGAAACGTTAAACCTTTGTTATTCGAGTTTGATATTAAACGGTGGAGTCTTTCTCGTTAAAACGATAGACTTTCTGCCCCAGTACAGATTCAACTCCCACTCCCCTCGTATTCTGAGTGACTTCTTTCTGTTCAGAGAGCTGGAACAAGTTCACCTAGCTTGAGCAAGTTCCTTCACTTTTCTAATTTGCACCTACTGTCGTGGACATTGAAATCCAGTCGATTGACCGGTCCGCGGGGCCGGCGCCCTCAGCGCGTACAGAACGCTGTGGGCAGTGCACAATCATGTTGATGGGATGCGACCAGCGCGCTGCAGCGCATAAATGCATGTGTGTACCGCTTATTCCCGGCTGCATGGTCAGCGCTTATCCTCGGCTGCATGGTCAGCGCCCTGGGGATTCTAGACGTGTGACCGGATTTCCATGTCCACGACAGTATGTAGATAACGTCATTCGACTGGGGTTGGTTCTTGCAAAAGAACTTGATGAGAATCGTATAAGTTACTGAAAGATCACAGCTATAGTCAGCTGTGATAAGATAATGCATTCATTCCTGAGGATATGAAGAAGAAAGAAGAAAAGAGAATTTAAAAGCGGTAACCAGGGTAACGCACCAAGGCTGCATGAGAGTGTAGAGTGGGTAGGTACTGGTGGGATACCGGTGATTGTCACCACTTCCTTTTCCCATGCTGCGTTCCCATGTGTAGGAAGAGATTGAGCATGGTAACAGCAAATATAATACAGAGTTTTCTCAGTACGAGAGCAGGACTGAAGATAGAAGAGAAGATGAAGTTACAAGCAGAAATCTACTAAGCCATAGTACCATTGTAGAACAAGTCATCAATATCGTTTAGAAAATGTTACAATTACATCGGTGGCAGTTGATGTCACAGTGATGCATAGCGATTTTGAAGATAAGTAATTTGGCCCAGTGCTGCCCACGGTGTATAATTAGACCATGTACAGTTTATGGGTTGGCATAAGGGTGAATGCTGAGCCTGCCTGATCGTACTTCAAACGTATTGATGGTTGCAAATGATCATTGTGAATAAAATCCGTGCGTAATTCGGGGATTATTTGCAAGGGGTGACTGTCGCGGAAGGTGTCTCGGTGGTCTTGCGTCTGGTTGCTTATGGTCCGGGGCAGTTGCTGTGCACCCAGCTGTCGAACTTGCGCCTCCAGTCTGTCCATGCCTGCAGCCAGCAGTGCTCACGCTCGTTGACAGTGGCTGGGCTGGTGCAGTTCAGTGTGCTTGGGTCCACTGTCACTGTACCACCAGGAGAGAAGGACACAAACAAAACGTAACAACTATGAGTACAATTGCTTGCTTTCTAGAGCAGATTCAGCCAGTGGCATCGGCCCGGTAGCTTACACGGTATTTGTGTACGCGCACTGTGTGTCCATGTGCGTTCCACTGGTAATCTGTGTACTGTGTCAGAGCAGCCAACCGGCTGCTTGGGCAGTTTTGCGTACTCCACCCATTGTCTTGCGCATTTTTGCAGCGCTTTTCCGTATATTTCCACACCATCGAGATTTCCGTGGTACAGACAGTCGACTTGAAAGTGCTACGTCACAGCATAGCAACAATTTCAAAAATTCAAAAACTGGATCCACTTGGATCCAGTTTTTGTATGGATCCAAGCACATTTCAAGCGGTCTTACTCACAGCAAGGTGATGTAATCGGTGAAATTGACTGGGTTGGCTAATGGGGGTAGGGTGAGTGGCGAAGAAAAAGTCACTGCATACGACATGCGTGGGTTGCTATGCACCCACACACTGAGGCAATGGCAAAGTCACACCTCAGTGGATCCAAAATAGAAATCTGATGTCAAATTACTACTCCCTGGCCGTTTTTGACGTCATCACTTTCAAGCCCAATGCACCCACTTGTGCTGGATGATGCAACATGTACACTGTACATGTAACCGCTCAGTGCGATGTCATCACTACTACTCAGTGCGATGTCATCAATACTACTCAGTGCGATGTCATCACTACTACTCAGTGCGATGTCATCACTACTACTTAAGTAGTTCCGAGTTACCGCTATTCGCCTCTCAGGATGCGAATTGCAATAACTTACCTGCGACAGCAGCTGCACCAGTGCTTGCACCAGGGCCAGCGGGTGTCTCCGCACCAGCCAGTGGAGGTGCGTCGGTGATGACAACACCGAATTGGTCGGTGCGCACCTGCACAGTGGCCCCCGGTGCCACTGTCTCGAAGATTGACATGGTAGGGTCGATGACGCCAGGCCCCTGGTTCATGGGCATACCAGTTGGGTAAGACAGAGCTGGCGGTGCACGTGCAATGCCAATCTCGCACAGGTTGTCCATGCACAGCTGCTTGCCCGCCGGGCAGAATGAACACGGTGGGCCAGCCGTGTATGGTCGCAGCTGCTGGGTCACTGCTGGGCCTCTGCAGGAACATTGGAATAGCATGCAATGCTGTGCAATCAGCCTATTGTGTGTGAGGTCAGGCTGTCACCCTCTGCTCTCATATAAACCAGATAATCTTGATGACAGGTTTGGACTTTGATATCGCATTGTCAGTCTGCATACAAACTGGATATGATTACCGGCTTGGACTCTTGATATCACATCATAGTGTGAGTCTGAATACATCACACATTGTTAGCCATGCAAGTTCATAGTGATATAGCACAGGTTCAATCTTGTATTCCAATTGGGTTGAGAACGCACTAGAAATGTTTGTTGTATAATATTTTAAGACAGTGGCTTGTCATTGGCTGTCTCAGTGTGTGTATCACGGGGGGGGGGGGGGGGGGGGAGAGAGAGAGAGAGAGAGAGAGAGAGAGAGAGAGAGAGAGAGAGAGAGCTAGAGAGAGAGAGAGAGAGAGAGAGAGAGGGTAGGTCGTGTCGTGTGTCATCATCACTTACTGTGGACCGTAATTGCAGATGAAGAAAGCGGCCAGCGGCAGAATTGCTCCGAAAAACTCCATCTCCTGGCATACGTGGAAGCCGCAGCCAACTGCTACCGTGTTGGCAGTCATCATCTGAAAATGCAGAAGTACACAGATGCTGTGTCATGATCAATACCCCCAAACTGCGGGTCGTGTTGTAAATGGAGAAGCTGTCCGCTGTGCATAATGTTTTATCGAGATGAGGATATTGACACACGAACAATTGTTATTAAATTTAAGAACTATTATTAAAGAACAAAGACAGCGAGAAGTTGTTTTCATCTCAAAACTAATAATCTCTGCTGTCTAGGGTGTTGGGAAAGACACGTCGTTACAAAGTTCGCTCAACTAGCGCTAGCATATCTTATGTGCCATCACCATGATCCCACCAGCTGAGGTGCTGGGACTTGCTCCATATCGTAATTTCGACAGTGTGGTGTTTCGTGCCTCCAGTCCCAGGCTGCAACAGCCGTGAAGTTCCCCATGATGGCTGCACACATGAGGCTGGGGAAACTTTGATCCTGCTCGACCCTGTGGCCATACAGATCTACCCTACAGTACAGACTCAGTGCGCAAGTTGTGGTGCTGCCATGTAGTACTACACACAGAGTCCTGATTCCATTGGTTATTTCATGGTTGCTATTCACACCATAAAAGAAACTTCGTTGAAGCCTATGCCTGTAGACTTGTCTTGAGAAGTTAGTTAGCCCGGTCGAGTGTGACTGACGTGAACTTCCAGCAGCTACAACTGGCCGAAATTAAATAAAAATAAATAAAAAAGCAGCTACGTGTAACAAACGCAACGCTTCCACTTTCTAGCTCAAGCCACAAAGCCAAGGCACGCGGAACACCAGCAATAGCATCAACTCCCTCGCCTCGGCACCGACAATCCGTTTGCATCCCAGGGACTCGGGGAAGAAGCGAGTCTAAACTCTAAAGTCTAACGTTCATTAGTAGTACAATACTGTCAATAACGTTAGGCCTAAAATAAATTGACTCAAGTCGTCAAGACTAGCCACTATAATAATTATTATTATAACTCCTACACTACTCTCCAACTACCGTGATGACATTATGTAGATCTGCAGATACCGTACATGTATTGTCTTTTTTTTTTCGATAGTGAGGAAAATGTTATCAACTCCAAAGCACGAAAAAGGCCAAAAACTAACCAATAATGCAATAACATGTTATTTATAAAGACAGGACAAGTGAATAATTAGTCAGTCCATTGTTCATGATGATCTCCGACGGTTACGTCTAGGATGTCACACGTACTGCTTCGACGATGTGCATCCCATCACAATGACAACACACATGTACATTGTCCTGTACACCATGGGCATGGTTTCACTGCTCTTTTAGTTTTGGCGCAGAAGAAGTCGAGCATCGCGGTTAGTCTTCTGTAGTAGGCTGTCGATGCTATTTCCGTATAGAATCGAGACAGTCCTCGTACAGTGTTCTCTCTGCTCTGCACTGTCACAGACTGCTCTGCACTGTCACAGACTGCTCGCGGCAGACAACGAACGAGTCCCGGTATACCATGTCTACCATGCCGATCAGTTTAGTCGACACCTGCTGATGCACAACTCGAAGTCGCAGCTCCCGCGGCTATCCCTTCCTGGTGAAGGACTAGCGCGTCTGGCGTCACATCCGCCATCCTATATCCTCTGCTGTTACTACAACAGTACAAGCCACAGTTATTTCGGCTACATGATTGTGTAGGTAATGGCTGCCAGTCGGAAAGTGCCGCTGCACGTCTGCTCGAGGACGTGGACTTGCCGGCAGCCGACCCAGTGCTGGCACATTTCCAGCCACTTATAATCATGTGAAACTGCTTATTATTCCGTTGCGAACACGGCACGAATACTCGACACGCCAACTGTATGCTGCATATTGCTCTCGAAACGAAGTTACTTCGGTGAGTTATACAGTTGACGAACCAGCACACTACTACACACACGTACTGGGCCGGCACATGTAATTCCCTCCTCGATCAGCACCTATACTACATGTACATGCATGACTCTAAAGGCTCATTACTCACAGCATAGATATTCTCTGACTGGAATTCCGAACTTTTCCGTTTGAGAATTTTTTTTCCTTAAAATTAATCCTTGCTGGGTTTTTTTCATCTAAATGTCCCGCTATTATCTGCAGAGGTGATTTCTTCCCTCGTCGATTTCTTTCCTGCTTTTATACCTCGATATTTAGGTACTTGTTTCCCTTCATCCCATGCTTCATCTTCCACTCTCCTCTCCCCCATTTCCCCATTTTTCTTGCGATATTTATGTGGGAGACTTCCGTGATAAGCATCCATTTGCTTTTGGAGAATCCTTTTAAATAAATACAATACAATACAATACAAAATACTCATGAATGTGTTATCAACTTATCAGCCATTGCTGAAGTGCATTACATCTTCCATCTTCCACCCTATCTCTTCGCTACCTTGTTACTATACTGGCAAGAAACGTACCTGGGTATAGTGGGTACAGACTCTGTCCACTTCACAAGTGTTGTGTGTGATGTTGTAGTACTGTCCCTCAGCAACCCATTCACGGATGAACTGCACCGGGTTCTGGTTGATGATGGCCGAGCTTCCGTAGTTCAGTGCCATGTTCTCGCCCACACCGGCGGGAAAGAGATGCTCCGCCTCGGCGTGACGTATGTCATTCGGTTCCCACGCACAGTTCTCAGCGTGCTCTTGCGCAATGAGTGCCAGTGTAGGGTTCCAGACCTGTAGCGGTGGTTTACACGATCAACAAATCAGTACAACAATCAGCATACTAGTACTTATACCGGTATAGCGGTATGAACAGGGGGGGGGGGGGGGGGGGGGGGGGCGATTTCACTAGTTTAGTACAGCACCTGAAAGCGAAACCGGCATAACATGGCTAGGTTTTACCGAAAGAGGTGGGGACAACACGAGTGGCAGTAGTGCACCGCATGAGATCATTGTTGCAGTAACTGTATACTGAAGTACGTGTGCAATGTACATGACGATTGTCATGATGTAGGCCAGAGCAAGACTACAATACTGGTATGCATACTGCGGCTTGCCTGGGCACATACATTGTGGGAATTATGGGAATCTAGTTCAATGCACTGCCTGCAAGCCACACCACCTGTCCTTCTGCGGTATGGTGAGTGAGTGTATAGCACATATTAGAGAGAGTGCAGACATCATGAATGTCTACGTCATTCTGCGGCTATGCTCAGACATAGTACCTAGCAGAGTGCAGCCTAGCTCGGGCAAGAACAACGCCAACGGATGCCGACCGACGGAGCATTGCTGTGTTCACGACATCAAGTGATCGACCGCCAGCCACTGTTTCCAGATCGTGTGGACGAACAATGCTGCTGCATGATGGATGACGATTGCCTACAGTTGTAGACTACGAATTTAGCTCTGTGGTGGCCATAATGGCAAGTCTACAGAGCTCGCAGCCAGCACTGAGCGGCTGAGAACTACAGACTAGTACAGTGGCTGTGTGTCTGTAAGTGTAAGCAACACAGTCATAATCATTGCATCATTACCCACCACTTCACACTACTCGTTCGACAATGTTACGTTGAAGAGCTGCATGTGCAACTACGTAAACCTCAGGTGTGGTCAATAGGGGGCTCAGAGGAATGCCTGGCACCGAATACCAACACTCTCAGCGCTTGGTGAGGTTGGACTGCTATTCTAGAGCATGCCGCAGGGAAGTCGAGAATACCTATCTATCTAGTGGTGGCGCAAGGCGAGGCCAGACATAAGACAGGGGAAGAGCGGCACAGAACAGAGCGGGATCATAGAGTGGGGGAGATCAGAGTAGTGATGGCCAGTGTATGTATGGTTACGTACCATTCTCTCCATGTTAGAGGCAGTTGGTTTGACTCGACTCCTGGCTTCGTTGTGCGCTCTCAGGATGGTAGCCTGCATGGTCATCGATAGCCTGGCATGTGCAGAACATGCTAACACTAGCAGTAATGAAAGGCAAACGAGAAGCTTCATCGTGAAACACTGATTGCGATGCTTGCTTATACTACGATGAAGAGGAGGAAGAAATGCCGTCTCTTAGTCAATAACGACAGCGACACAACACACACACGCCGTCCAACTAGAACTCCTCTTGCTCGTCCACTGAAAGTGAAAGGAAAAGGAAAAGCGCCGAGGTTCAAGTAGCTGGCTGGGAGACCCTGTTTTTCTGCTGCCAGTGTGTTGGTTCTGCAGGCAGTGCATACCGCCGAACAGGTAACCAGCGCAGTGTGTGCATGGCCTCCCTGAACTGCGCTGCCGTTCGACCTCCCTGAACCGCTGAAGACATGTCGATGCCTTCAGCAGTACCGCCGGCCCGGCTCTCTGTGCATGCGCTACCCTTTACTGCTGTGTACTGTGTATGTGCTGCACACGTCATAGAGCGGTTGCTAGAGGTCAGGCTAAACAGGCTGAAGGCTGCATGGAAGACAGGCGCTGACGTTACGACTGGATGCTTTCCTCCTCACTGTGCAGTGCAAGACTCACTTTGTTGCCAGCCTAGACACTAGCGTCAGCGGAGGGGACGGGCCGGCAGGGGGAGCTGCGCTGAAACTGGCATGCAGTTTGATCGAATTGCACTCTACAGCCGGCTGTTGTCAGGCATACGGGTATGACTCGCCGTGGCACTGCAGCCGGCATACCCTGGCGTGTGCTGGTGGCCTCCACCGAGCCAGCACCAGCACAGTAGTAATGTAGACCTCCTGATAACAATCATGGTTGCGAGAGAAAGAAGAGAGGGAGAGCAGGGATGTGGTTGTTGGAGTATTTCTGTCATTGACCAGACTATGCTGCATGTGTAAGTTGTCAGCTCCTGTGACGGTACCGTGCTAAAACTAAAAGTGAAACCGCCAGTTCGCCCGATGATGGCACGGTCTGGTCGTGGTTGATACCCGAGCATGATGACACAGTCAACTTCACGATCTCCACCCACTGTCTTTCAGCGCCACTACAGCCAGCACAGCCACTACAGCCAGTGCAGGTAAATGGGTCACTATATTATTCTAATGTAGCCCACCCCCTCGCGCGCGGCCCGTGTCTTGAAACACACACGCACACCTAGGTAACAGCTAGGCTGCGTAGCGGCCCCAATACCTTATTGCTAGGAGTCGGACGGTATAGCCGCCTACTGCTGTGGTATATGGCGCGGTGACGTAGATCGCACTGACTGTCCAAAACCGAAAGTAGCAGGTACAGGTATGAATCTCGTTCCTCGGCTTCAACCTGTGTCTGTGCACGTGTATGTATCGTTCAACCTGTGTCTGTGCACGTGTATGTATCGTTCAACCTGTGTCTGTGCACGTGTATGTATCGTACAGTCTATATCTAGTCGTAGTTACCATCGCTGCTTGGTCACTGCTTAGAGTTATTGTGTTATTGTGTTGTTGTGACCAGGTAACCCTAGGTTCCAGCCTAACCCTGTGGCTCAGACTAGAAACGCAATGTATCCAAGCCCCACAGCCCCACAGCCCCACAGAACGTGCAGGACCTTCTGAAGGTCATAGCGACGTGACCCGACCTCATTCGCAAACCATCATATTCCTTGCAAGCCCTGGGTAGAGCAGCACGAACGGGTATTACTACAGTCAGACTCATAGACGTTTCCCATTTCAACTTCCTAGACCAGGCGTAATATGAATACAGTGATAGCAATGATTCTTCTTCCTTCTCATTGACACTCATGTACATGTGTATCAGTAACTATTGTACATTGTACACGTATTATAAATAAGTACAGCATACCGAATGACTATTCGGGATTACCGGTACGGTACATGCAAGCTACTGGGTACGGGAGTGCACAAGAGGAAGGGCCGAGCTATGGATATTGGGAAGAAAGGCGGATCATCACTGAATAGTCTGACCGTTGTGGCATGATGGATGCGTTACAAATAACAACTGCCTTGAACTGGCTAGTTGTGAGTAGGGAGTAGAACAATATCATTCTTGTACTTCTCCCTGGTTGTGACCAGGGAGTAGTACAATACTACTCCCTGGTTGTGACTCTAAGGTGAGCACAGGATACTAGAATGCAGTACATGTACATCACATTACTGTACACGTAAGTCTCCGAGCGCTGAGAACAATGCCAAATGCTCCTTTGAAATTCAAGTGAAGAACATGTAGCACACGATTACACATACGCGAAGGCATAAACACCGCGAAAAAGAATTCTAGCACCGCGCCGCCTCTTCAACGACACCGCCGGATAAACAGGACCGCGTCCCTAGCTACCACGTAGCACTGGTCAAGGAGCCATGAAAACGACGGGTCTTATCAGCTTTCATGGCTGCCACGGACCAGGCAGGTATGTTGGGTTTAGCTGTGCCAGTAGTAGTAGTAATGCTAGGCCAATACATGTAGCAGGAGTTTACATACCGGTAACAGCATTGTAGTTATGTGCATGGACATGAACAAGAGTTATGTACTTCGAAGTCCTGCTCTTGATACGAATGAGCAGTTGTAATTCAGTTTCAATTTGATGGCTACTAGTACTCTGGACTGCTCTGCATCATGTCCCAGGCGCCCAGTTGCTACTAGTACTCTGGACTGCTCTGCATCATGATATCATGTCCCAGGCGCCCAGTTGCTGCAAACACTACTAGTAACTGTGTCACCAATCATGATGTAGGCGATTCGCCACCCTGGAGAATATCCAGGCCATATCACCCACGACAAGAACCTCTATCAAGTGGTGAGCAGTACAATTCGGCTTTTCAAAAATATACATAATAATACGATGTTTCTCTACTCCTCACCTCCGTGCGCCCTCCAGCCTCCAGCCGACTAGCTCAGTAGCTACTACCTTCGGTAGATAGTCGGCTGAAGAGCGCACAGAGGTATTATTATTCTTTATTTCCACGATGGCCCATGGCCAATAAGGAAGATAATATGATTCAAATCAGTCCAGAATCATATACTAGTAAAATCAGTCTAGCAAGTAAGGAAACCAACACATTGCAGAGGGATGGGGTCACGATGGGGTACAGTGTGAGCTACTACAGGAGCATATGGATGATAGAATGAGGCTAGACGCCATTGATTTAAACGCATGCTTGCTATTTGTTTCACGCAGGTCGGTATAGGACTGGCATCGTTCCTTATGCACGACATTGTGCTTATCGCAGACTACATGTACGCCATTCGTCACTGCATGCTTTGGATAGAGTTGGCTTGCAGCGCAGACAGTGTTTGTGTCCTTTGCATGATAAGAGCGCAATGTCCTCTCTCACTCTTCCCATTACCAGCACGAGCCGTACTAACTAACTTGATCCTGGTAATACAGGTTTCTTTCTAGTGTTATGATGTCAGATGACTATTATCACTGACAGTCTAGTCTGTGCACTAGTACTAGTATTATCCTACATGTATGTGGAGGAAAACTTAGCGCCCCACCCCAGGCCCAGGCGGAGGTTGCACAATGTGTATCTCGGAGTGTTTTAGATCAGTGAGAAGGAAACATGTCGTCCGCGGACATGGAAGTGTAATGACTATAGCAGGCACACGTTTATATTGTTGATGGACACTCAGAACTGTATGTAACTCCATACTGGAATATCCCGCACTACTGTATTCAGTTGGTTGGGGGTTGTAATGAGACACACTCGTCATGACTCAGGCACGCAAAAGTGCCCACAGTGAGCTCGGCAATTTCGTGTCGTTGTTCCACAGCGCGCGCGCGCGCGCGCGCGCGCGTGTGTGTGTGTGTGTGTGTGTGTGTGTGTGAGAGAGAGAGAGAGAGAGAGAGAGAGAGAGAGAGAGAGAGAGAGAGAGAGAGAGAGAGAGAGAGAGAGAGAGAGAGAGAGAGAGAGTGAAAGAGAAAGAGACACGACTTCGTCGCGTATTCGCTCAAGACAAGTACGAAGCGAGCAATCGGAGGTGTAACGGACAAACACGGTTAACAACAATAAATTATAATACGCCAATTACTCTACATGCACCTCTGATGTGTATTTCGATCTCGCAGCACATTCGCTTGCGTTGACTCAATCGTCCATTGCTGCGGAGTTACGCAGCACATTCGCTTGCGTTGACTCAATCGTCCATTGCTGCTGAGTTACGATTGGTCACAAGCGTGTAGTCACCTGTTGCTGTTAGTGCGTAATCACGTGATCACGGTTTGGACAAGCTGTACCGTGTAACGGCATGCGCGGCAGCGCAGGTCACTGTCAGTCATTTCCGTTTCCCTGCAGACCTTTCTCACGTCATCCGGATGTTGATCAGTCGACTTCACTTCAACCTGTTTAGTTGGAGATCGGGCAAGGGCGGATCGGCCGGAGAGTGCAGTGGTGGTGGTGTGGTGGATGTCTGTTGTCAGTGTTGACAAGCCAATGCATGGGTGTACGGATGCTCTTGCCATGGCTGTGAAATGCTCATGTGTATTTATTGTTACACTACCGCAAACGTATTGTGTGTGTACGTACGTGCGCGCGCGCGTGTGTGTGTGTGCGTGTGTGGTATGCTATTGTCCACGCAAACAGCGAACAGGACGTAACCATCACGCTACTCGTTGGATGAAGAGAGCCTCGGCATGTGGTGGCGGGCTTGTAGCCTGAGTCTTTGTAGGCACTCTGTGTACTTGATGCCGGTGGGCTGGCCCCCTGACCGAGACCTGCCGCAAGTACAAGGCTCGGAGTCAACTTTGGCGACGCCGGGAAGGAGTATCTACTTCAAGTACTAGATTCTACACAAGAGTTACACAAAGGAAACTCGAAAGTAAGTGCCTTTTTGGTTGTGACTCAGAGTTTCATGCTACGTCTAATAGATTTTGAACAGCTTGTCTACGTCTTTGACCACGGCCTCACGACTTGATCATCGGGTGGCTGCACGAACAGTCTGTATCAGTATCAATGTGTGATGGAGCGATGGGTTCGGGAAGCGTGCAATCCGTCTAGTGTGACTTTGCCTATCATAGTCTTACTCCCGCTAAAACTAATGACAATGTAGCCAAGCTAAGCCGCGATTTCCACCAGCTAAGCCGCGATTTCCACCGGTTTCACTTTCAGTTTGCTAGCATTATTATTATGATTTTTATCCCATCGATCCTGCAGATACATACATATACGCGAACTGACAGCATGATGCCTCGACGGATGTATCGTATCGACGGAATAGGATAGATACTGCATGATTTTGATCAGAT